ACCCCGCCCCCCTTCTCGGAACTGGGCCCCGCCCGGCGAGCGTTGCACAGGCCCACCCAGACATGGCCGCCCCTTCAGGCTGGGTAGCAAACGCAGCACGGACCCACGAGACAACGCGACAATGGACTGGCAGTAAAAATGGCCAAATCACCGCAAGCACCCTTCTTCTAATTCCTGGCTTCTGCCCGGAGCTCAAGGTCACTGACCCACCCTGCATTCGGGTTTCCCACATTTCAAGCCCCCTTTGTGTGATCACAACACTAGATTTTCATTCTGTATTTTATTACTGAAATACATTGTCCTACCAATCAGTCCCAACCCCCACCCCCCACGATAAAAATCTCACCCAGATCCCCCATCCTTCCCTCCACCCCCCAGGCAGTCCTGCACAAGTCTCCAGAATTCACTGCCCACTGGGCATTTTGGAGTGTGTCCCTTGGGTAGCCAAGGGAAACCACCCGGGGCCTTTGTGGGGGGAAATGGAGGGGAGGGAGCTTATTTGAGGGCCTTGGCCACTTGCTCATAGGCCAGCTCGATCTCCTCATCGTCGGGGCAGGTGGAGGCGAACTCCTCGCGCGCATAGGCATTGCGCAGGTACCGATGCACTCCCCGGAACACCTCGGGGATGGAGAAGCCGCGGTACTTCTTACACACCACCTGGGTGGGGAGGAGAGGAACAGACATTAGCCTCAGGGAAGCCAGACTGGGCTGCCCCGCTGCGGTCTTTCTCTTATCCCAGCCTTCTTGTCCAGGCGTTAAGTCTCCGCTGTCCAGCTCTTTTTCCTGTGATTCTGACCTGCCACGTGAATCATCTGCTCCAATTGGCTTTCTTAACTCTTTATTGTCCTATACTGTCTTCACTTTTCCTCTCTACTTACTGATAACAAGCCCCTTTTCAGACCAATTCCAATGGTACTACTTTTCTCCTCTTGGTTTTATTGAGCTATAAATTACAAACGATTAAATTTTTCTCTTGAAATTTCCACAGCGACTTTTCTCTTTGTTTCATTGGGGGCAAGGACTAATCATCACACCACTTTGCCTTTCAGTGTTCAATACGCAGCTCTGTGGCAGACGGACATCGGGCCCAGATTTCACAAACTAAAACCATAGCTTTAAGGCTGTGACAAAAGATGGGAACCAACAGTTTTCATCTTCCACAAGAGGAGGTGGAAACCGAAGCTATGAGGAGCTAAAGCTTTGATTGTAGGAAGAGCCTGCCCTGTCTGGCCTGGGGATTTGGCAGTGCCAGTGGCAGGAAGAGCATTCTTGAAAGTAACACTGGGATGTGTTCCTCTCCGCCAGCCGGCTTGCACCCAGCTTGTATCTTGGAATGTAATTTTCACAAGCAAGTCTTGTGGGCAATGACCGCTGAGAAGGAAGGGGTGGCATTTACTATTAGCAGCAATCTATGGAAACCGCCCTAAGAAAGAAATCACCGTTGCAGTGGTCGTCACGGGAAGCCATCCCAGCGGCCATCCTCTCCTCCCACCGTGGCCACCCACCTGCACTATGTGGAGCTTTGGCAGCAGGTTACAGTCCGCCAGAGTGAGCTCATTTCCATCCAGAAACTTCCTCTGAGAGATGCCCTCGTCCTCAGCACTGGTCTCGTCCACTTCCTCTGGGAGAGGGGATGCCAGGTAATTGTCTAAAACTTTCAGGGCTTTCAGGAGCCCCTTCTCCAGGTCTGCACAAGAGAGGGCATTGGCAAGAGCATCAAATGATTGACACAGTCCAATCCTAGAAGGTTCAGGGGGCAGGTTGGGGTGAGAGGATGAATACTAATGCTAGGCCCGTCCAAATTAACAATAGCTAATGCAGTTAGCTTTCTGTTATTGTAAGCACTTTATATACAAAAACTCATTTAATTCTCACATCAACCCACAAAATAGGTATTGTTATGCTCATTTTATAGATCTGGAAATAGATTTATAGAGGTTAAATGAATTGCCCGAAGTCACCCAACTAGGAGGATCTGTACTCAGGTAGTCTGGATCTAGAGTCACTGTTCTTTTTTTATTCTTTTCTTTTCTTTTTAAAATATATTTTATTGATTTCAGAGAGGAAGGGAGAGGGAGAGAGAGATAGAAACATCAATGATGGGAGAGAATCATTGATTGGCTGCCTCCTGCATGCCCCACACTGGAGATCGAGTCCACAACCTGGGCATGTGCCTATGACCAGAATCGAACCCGGGACTTTTCAGTCCAACACTCTATCCATTGAGACAAACCAGCTAGGGCTAGAGTCACTGTTCTTAAGCATAACCCTGTTCTGCCAGAAAACAGGCAAGCAGCCAAGCCAACCCAACTAATGACCCCAGTCGGCAGAAGAGGCCAGGGAAAAAATGAGAGATGCTCAAGAGTCGTGGCCAATGAGAATGCAAGGAGAGATGGGAGTTAAGCAAAAACATCTCCCTTGATGTTGAGATCTGAATTCCTAGGTGCTCCAAATGCCTCCCATCCCCTGGATCTCTCGTTCCTCCCGGGACCCGGGCCTCTAACCACAGGACTCACTGTCATTGAGTGCTGGGTTTGAGTTCTTGATGTAGGCAGAAAACTTGGCAAATATGTCCAGGCCAGCTGTGTTTGACTCAGGGTTCAGAGCTGCCAGCTTGGGGTACCTGAAAGCCAAGGGGAGAAATAAGGAATCCTACTGGGAGGAGCCTCAGCCCCATCACCATCTGGCTTGTTTGTTTTTTTTTCAATCCTCACCCCAAGGAGTGAGGATATTTTTCCCGTTGATTTTTTAGAGAGAGTGGAAGGGAGGGGGAGGGGGAGAAAGAGAGAAAAAAAAGGAACATTTATGTGAGAGAGACACATCGATTGGTTGCCTCCTGCTCGCCAGGGATTGAACTTGCAACCCAGGGACATGCCTTTGACCAGGATTCGAACCTGGTTCTTGGGCTGACGCTCTAACCACCGAGTAACCGGCCAGGGCGCCATCTGTTTTTTATTTCTTCAGAGTCTCCCAGCTCCCCCCACTCCCCTTTCCCAGTGCCCCAATACCTGGGAGGACACAGCACTGCCTCCAGAAACTCCTCAATCTTGTTGGTGTCTGTGTGCACTTCGGTGCCATACAGCAGAAAAGGGAGCTGCCCTCCTGGGCACAGCTTCTGTACTGTCTCAGTTCGCCTGTAGGAGAGAGAGGCCACGCATCGGGCTTGAAAAGGGGGTCAGAGAGGACCAGGAAAAGGAGATGGAGGGAGGTGGGAAGAGAAAGGGGCTCTTGGTAGAAGGGAAAAGTTCAGGATGGAAGACACAGGTGACTGTGTGTGTGTGTGAGCACAAAGGGTGTTTAGAGGAACAGAAGTGGGCCTACCTCTTGGTGTCAACGGTGGTGACGTTGAAGGTGACTCCCTTGAGCCAGAGCACCATGAACAGTCTCTGGGAGAAGGGGCAGTTCCCAATCTTGGCGCCATCACTGCCAGCCTGAAAAGCAAGCCCCACCTCAAGTTAGGCCTGGTGTACCCCACCCATCCCCAGGCCATTCTGGGCATTTCCTATTCCCAGACCTTCTCTCTCTCTCTCTCTCTCTCTCTCTCTCTCTCTCTCTCTCCAGAACTGGGTACTCCACCCTGGGCTCAGTCAAATCTAGAGCAGATCAGTGGAAACATTTTCTACAAAGGCTGGCTTCTGGTTTTTCAAATACTTAAGTATAGGCGAGAGGTGGGCAGAGGGATGGGTTGTGGAGAAATGAGAGGATCTGGACCCTGGAGAGGGAAGACTGACAGCAGCGTAGTTTTCCTTGTGCTACTCTAAGTACTTTACACACAAAAACTCATTTTAATTCTCAGACCAACCCATGAAGTAGCCCCGAGAGGGACTTGGTGAGGCCAGAGATGTAGGCTAGCGGCCTGGGTTCCGGATTGGAGTAGCGCCCGAGGACAGGAGAGGCGGGGCAGGGTTTGCAGACAGAGTTCTGGTTCTTATACCTCCACCCACTCCGTTTCTGGGCAGCTGCTGGGGAGTCGAGGGGCTCACAGCCTCGCCCTAGAGAGGTAGAGGGGCTGCTCTCTAATTGGCAAGCGGTGACCTCATCCCTCCAGGGACACCGCCCCCTAGGCTCCGGATGATTCATTTCACCGGTGTCTCCAGCCTTAGCCGCTTCCTTCCTGCCAAGGAGTGGGGGCAGGGAGCCGTGAGGCCGAGGACCAGCGGTAGAGGCCACCTTCCTCTCCCCGGCCCTGCCTGCTGGGTCTCCCGGCACAACCCCTCTGGCGCCAGATAACCCTCCTCACACAGGACCCAGGGCCAGAATCTCTGCAGCACACACTCACCCGGGAGTAAAAGTAGCCCTTGAGGCGAGTGTGAGAGTGCGGTGGGGACCACACCCAGGGGCGGCCCAGGCAATGGCTGCCTGAGAAGTAAAGCATAAAGACAGGGAGAAACAGGCAGGAACACCCAGACAAGATGAACAAAAGGGGGCAGCGAACAAAAGAGGGGAAGCGGAGAGAAAGGAAGCAGGAAAGTGAGGGGGTGGGGAGAATAGCAAACAAGAAGCCGGGTGTCTGCCAAGGGGAAGGAGGGCGAAGAGAGGAGGTCCAGAGAGGGGCGGCACAGCCCTCGTGGGGAAGGGAGCAGGGTGGGAACAGCGAAGGCCAAAGGCCGGGCCTGCGGTTGTTGCTGCTGTTTTTTAATTAGGGGGGGGGGGGAAGAAGAGAGAAACATCGATGTGTTGTTCCACTTATTTATTCATTCATTGGTTGATTCGTGCATGTGCCCTGGCAGTGGTCGAACCTGCAACCTTGGTGTATTCGGACACCACCTAACCAACTGAGCTACCGGGCCAGGTCTGGCCTGCGGTTTTGATACCCAAATGCTATGGGCCCACAGAGGGGGGAGAGAGTTGGGGCAATTCTTTCTCTCCTGCTTCTACAGCCTCTAAGTCTAAACCCTAAAGGCCCTAGCCAGCGCCCCCTCTTTCTGACCCCTCTCACCTAGCCCAGCCCGGAAGCAGCCACAGGGAACTCTCCT